TTGCCTATCAGTAATTTTACCAAAGCAGTGTCAATGTTTGCAAATATTTCAAGCTTGCTTTTTTCTAGAGAACATTTTCATAAGAAGTCTATCAATAATTCTGTTTCTCTTACCAGTAATAGGCACTCGTGACCTTTACTCAGCTAGTGAATTTAAAATTTCAATGAAGAATCCTGCCCTGGGCACATACTGGGTAGCCAGGCAATGTCCCTGGCAATTCCTGACTTTAGCTGTGGGTGGTCTGGGTTGGAGGCTCAAGGTGTGGCCCTGGCTAGGATCAGGAGTTGTATTTAGCTTTGCAGGGCTGGAGCCTTCCCTGTGCAGAGTCAACAGAGGCTTCAGCCTGTCAAACATTTACTTAGGTGCTTTACACTAGGCCAGCCGAGTGACTCAGAGCGTGAAATGAAGCACAGATGTAGGTCTTAGCAGGAGCTGAGACTTTACCTTAGGAACCAGGCCAGGCTGTGATGTTCCCTGGGTGAGCTGAATAAATAGTGTTTGCCTCAGTTTGACTAGATGTAAAATAGAGCTCAGTATTAGAAAGTTCTCAAGATCCTTGGCTGGGAGTTATTACTTAAAAATTAAATTTATCATTAAAGGACAAGTGGCTAAGGGCTAAATGGCAAGAAGAAAAAGTTAAAAATATGTATGGAATCCTATTTGCCATGAGTTTATATTTACAGTATTAAGTTCAAGTGAGGGTAATTACTTCTCGAGAAACTTCTCAGGAAAAGAGCAGGGTTAGGCTCAATTAGTATAAAGGTCTATATTCATGCACTATATATAGCTGTGCTGCCTTCAAAGCAGCACTGAGAACACCTGCCACTGCTGTTTGCTGCCTGCCTTTTCATCATGCTCCTGTGAGCAGCCTGTTTGTGGTATTTCATCCTCGCTGGCCTAACTGCCATGACCTGAGCTGTTGAGCACCTGCACCAGCAGTGGGTAAGGTGGGCAGCGTGGAACAGGGCATGAGAACACCAGAACATGCAGCAAAAGGCACCAGCCAACCTCACAAAGTCTGTGCTGGGAGACAGATCTTCATCGGGTCTGCAAAGCAGTGAACAGCATGGCCTCACCTTGAGGCAGGGGAAAATCTGTTGCTGAATACTCAGGGGCATTAAGTTAACACTGGCACTAGTCCTGACCCTGGTCTTAGTGATTTCACTCCAGACAGGACTGTACCTGAGTCTATGTGTCTCAAAACCCTGCAAAATCTGTAATGTAAGTGGCAGTGTAAATTTCAAGGGTACCTGTGGCCTCTGCTTATTATGTTATGTCTTAAAAATCTAGTAATTTAAACCCTTGTTCATTAATGATTCAAGCCAAAAGCATCTTAAGGACATAAATTGGCCTTAATTGTAATGTTCTACAGTTTTCTCTGTTATTTTCTGCCACTGTAGAGACAAAGGGGCATATTCTCAATTATTTAAATAAACATTATTTATTAAAATCAAGATTTTTTTCCCATGCATATTTGTTATGGAGAACATCTCCTCTGCTTATTCTTATTATTGTGAATATACTGCCCATATGAGTAGCATGGTCATCAAGACATCTGCCATTTAGTAAGATGTCAGGAACATTTAAAAATGTAGCAGGTGAGAGAAGAAGAGAGAAGAAGACATACTTTAAGCAATTTTTTAGAAAAAATTGAAAGTCTCCTGTCTTCAAAATATTTGGCAGAAATTTTCAACTTTAAAAAATTGAATTTGAAAATGTTATCAATTTAGTTGCTGAAAAAAATGTAAACTTTGAATAAGGACAGAATTTTCAACAAACTTTTCAGGGAAAATATATGCTATTTATAAGGAAGTGCTTGCTTTTATATTACAGACATGTTAGGAGAATCTAAATATCTCATAAAATTAAATCATTTTATCTCACTTAAAATGCAAGTGATTGTTCTGGTATTCACTAAGGTATGGTGCCAATCTTTTCAATATAGTTGGTTTTGTCATCTTACCAGCATAGTAAATATATTTTTGACTTGTATTTTAATATTGTTTTATCTAAACAATGAAAGCCAGAGCTGGCAACCTCCTTCATTGCCATGCATATATTTCCTACTTGGAACAAAATGTGAGACCTGCTTCAGCTACATGCCAAGCCACCAGGGCAAAGCCCAGGTTTGTAGAAAGAGAGATTATTTTTTGTTTAAACTTGTAGGAGAAAAATATGCAGGTTCTCAGGCTTTCAGTTCTTTCTGAAACTCAGAAAATCACCAGCCTGAAATAGAAATAGCAACCTCATTCGGAATGAGGGTGAAAATCCAATTTCATGTTCAGCTGTGTTGTGTAATTTCTTCAACTGTATTTTCCACATGCAGTCACAGTCCTTTCTCAGGTTTTGCATTAGCATAGTTAATTTTCTTGGGAATAGGTTCAAAATGGTAAGGAATTGCTGTGTTGTGGTAAAAGGATACAGGGTCAAGTAATACAAGACTGAATGGGTTGCTGAAAGCATTTTAAAAAGAGTAGTGCCCAGTCATGCAACTGTTCTTTCACGTGCACCCTCCAGGCACAGCAGCAGGCTCAGAGTGAGGGGAACCCTCCAAGCCTCACTGAGCACACCAGCCAAGAACTGGCACTGCAGAGAAAGGGGATTGTACCTTGGTGTTCAAGGAGAATAGGATTAGCCACTAACCTGTGGCCTTTCCAGACTGAACTGATTTGATTTAATGAAAATGCAAATCATCCATTACAAATGCATGTATGTCGCACTGTGAAAGTGAATTTACCATGAAATTAGTTTCAGACAGGGGGAAAACAGCTGCAGTTTTTCCCACTAGTGTTTCTTACAGTCCCTATAGGCACAACTTCCCCTTTGCCTGCAGTGAGAGTTGCAGAACCAGGAGTGAGTGCTGGAGGGATTGACCTATAAGGTTTCCCTGACATTTAGTAGTATCACATCAGTTAGTCCTTGTTTAACATATTCTGAACTGCCCACAGTATTGTATGATTATAATCCTTAGCAGTTATTGTCTCATTACTGGTCACAGTTTATAAATGGTTTTCCCCTCCTGGATATCTTGAAACTGTGTGATACTCCCTCTAAAATACTTGCAACTACAGTCTGTTTATTTCTCTTGGTCATGACCACAAAATGTATGACATTTATTCTCTCGCAATATGGGAAATTTGATGCAAGTAGAACAAAGAGACTCTAACCAAACCTGGAGGAGATGGGCTTGATCCTATCTCAGTGCTGTACCTGAAGAAGTGATTAGAATTTAAGATGTAACATACTGGATCAAAATTAAAATATATACCACTTAGGAAATCTGTAGCTACCACCTTTACGTGAATAATTCTTAATGCAATAAAATAGTTTTAATTTGAGGAGAGCAAACAATGAGTAACAACTACTCAAACAATCTGGCAAGGTGTGCATACATCAGTCTGGCATTCAGCTGCAGTCAGAATTTGGGATGGGCACAGAGTTTGTACTTGGCACTGATACAGACTTTATCTGTGGCTATGGTGTACTGCAGAAGGGTGAGCAGTTCTGTCGTAGGTTATATTGACATTTCTCACCTATTGGCTATAACTCTTCAATGCCAAATATATTACATCCTGCACATCCTGCAAATTACAGACAGTCTAATTCTTCTATAACTGATAAACCAAATAGAAGGTGTAGCTCAATCAGCAATGGCAAACCTCCTACCATAATATTATTAGGAAATTGGTGAATGTGACAAGAATATCCTCAGAGTGAACCATGACAGTCCTCTAAGTCAACTCTCTTTACATCAGCTCTCAGCTGTAACACCAGGCAGGAGGACTGAACTTTTATAAAAAAAGATGTTAGCAACAGGATAAAAATAATGGGGACTGATGGTCTCACAGGCACATGCCTGACACCAGGGTGTGAAAGAAAATTCCCAGTCATCTTCAAGGATGGAGCAACACTTCTAATCAGCATTTTTTCTTATAAAGAAAAGTGTTGCTGACTGCTCAGCACCTGTCAGGACTGAGCTGATGGGAACTCATACCCTGTGTGTTATGCTGGGAGTGAAATTCATGGGTTCATTTCCCCACCAAAATATAAGATTAACAGGTAGCTCTCGAAGTTTGGGCAACAGTGCGAGTACATATAGGCAGTTACACATCCCATCAGACCAGACTGCTCTGCAAGGTCTTTACAGCCACAGGAGAGGCTCAGGCAGGGTTACAGCATGTAGCTGCCTAGTATTGGTGTCCTTTGCAATCCCCGTGCTGCCTCCATGCTGATACTCCAACCTACCACACAGTCTCATTATACCCTCGGGGTAAGATACTGTTTGGCTCTGTGGCCTCTCAGCCTCTTGGGAAGGCCAGGGAGCATTTGCCTTTGCTCTGTAATTGTTCTGCTTCCACAATGACAGCCATGGAATGCCATGAAATACCAATGCAAGTTTGCTGTGGCAAATTTCCTGCTATGACGACTTTCTGCAGAGCCCTGCCAAACACTCCCTGCTCCCTTTGTGCCAGTAACCAGTTGTTGTGCCCTGCTCCTCTCACTGAGCTGCCGAATGGCAACGGCAGTGGCTGAGTCAAGGAGCTCTGTTTGACCCCTGCATGGAGGACACATTGTCATAGGCAAGGGCGTCTCACCAGGAAAGCAGCCTTCACAATGGCAGGAAATATCTGCCAGACAAGAGAAAAGGGAGCTGGTCCAGGGGTTGCAGCACTTGTGTGATTTTTGGACACCTGGTCTTTGCTTCACGCTTCCTGTGTGACCTGGAGCAAGTCGTTTGAGCATCTGAATCACTTTTTTACATTCTCATCAGTTTCTAAAGGAGTTCAAGCATGCCAGAGGGAACTAAGAGCCTAGATAATTTGTGCATCTGCCCCTAAATTTCATTGCACCTCAGTCCTAAGCCTTTAGGGTGGGAACACCAACATTACCTGCCTCCTTGGTCTGTAGTAAGGATAACCCTATCAAATGTAACAAGAATCTTTGAGGACTTAAGGATATCTTCAATATAATTTTGTAGTAATAATAAATAAATATCTTACAGTATGCAGCTGGCTCTCTCTGGCACTGTAAAAGCTCCACTGAATAAAGAAATTTCCCAGAGGTGCAGAACTCGTGTAGGTACAGAGCAGGGTTGCGTTTCCACCTGTAGTGACGTTCATTGTCTTCTCAGGGACAGTCACCACAACTCCGCTGACGTGGCCTGTGGGCAGTAAGCATGGTGAGGAGAGATCAGCCAGGGCTGCCCTGGGAGCCATGCAGGAGTGCCTTGTTCCCTGCATTATCAAAGAAATCTGTAGGACCTGTCTAGTTTTCTCTTTTTCAGTACGTTTTCCTTTGGGTTTTGTGTGGTAATTTCAGTGATAACAAGCCAGGGGTGGGTGAAAGCTAACAAGCAAATAAATCCCCTAGAATACCTGATCCCTTGCAACAAATGATATTCTGAAAAAGCAGAGTTCCTCAACCCATATTTGTTTTCACTAGCAGAGACTCATCTTCTCACTAACAGCCTGTGGCTAAACCGAACTTTTCTTCTGCACTTGCAGTGCTCTCCTGCTCCTGCACTCATATTCATAGCTGTGTCTTGCCCTTTTTACACCCTTCTTGCCTTTTTGGGGTTTTTTTGCAGTTCTTCCTTTAGATGTCTGACCTCCTTCATTGTGGAGCACTATCACCTACAGCGTTGTCTCTTGTACATTCTTGTGTTCTGACTGGAGCTTAGTGGCACTGTCCCAGGCTAGAGCCCAGCAGCCTTTCTCTGCTTTGCTTTTGCTAATTACTTTGCTTTTGTTTAGGGATTACATGCAGAAGCTGTTTTTTTCCAATGCCTTTACACTGGAAACATCAAACTAAGCTTTTTGGAGCTGCTCTTATTATGTGGGTTGTGCAAAGTTCTGTGATAGCTCAATCGACCCTTTCTGTTGTGCTCAAAGACAAGAGGCACAAACATAACTTGTGAGCCCTTTCCCATAATGTTCTCACCAGTCTTGACTACACAATCATAGTAATGAAAGGAATCAAGCACCACCTTAGAGTATTTATCTGTCTGTTGTTACTAGCAACGGTGACACACAACAGAGCTAGAACTGTCAGAAATATAAGTCTGAATTTCAGGGGTTTGCTAGGTCACTGAGTCCAATTTTAAAGCTACTGTCTAAAGATTCAGAAGGAGGATATATTTCTTTTGAATATGATGGAAAACATAAGTATTTTGGCACTTTGTATGCAAAAAACAGGCAAGGCAAGAACTTCATGTTATAATAATTTTTATGTGGGCTTATTGCACATATTAATGAAGAAACAAAACATACAAAATATTCTTTTCAATGAAATATCTGTGCATCTTATGTTTGGGTGATGCTTTGAGAGTTCAAGCAGACCCTCCAGTAAAACCAAAAGAGAATTTTGCTCAAATGATCAGCACTATGAGAGAAAACATTGTTTTAAAAAGAAATAATTTATTTTGACACTTTCAGCCATGAAAATATTGCATATTCATCAGTTGGTACAATGTGCAAACCTATCTGAACCTAGAGTCTGAATTCTTTGGGGTCTGTTTTCCTGGTTTGATGGATTCCATAGTTAAAGCTCACTGCAAGGAAGAAAGGAATAATCGACTTCCTGTGTTGGTGGTGGCTAGGATTAGAATTAGCATGTTTAAACTACAACAAGATTTGTATTATATGTGAAGACAGTCTCACAGAAATGGCTGGAGACTGACCTAAATGTGTCAAAGCTGCCTTGGGGAGAGAGGGGATCCCAGTGCTGCTGCCAGTCCTGCTCATCCTGTGAGTTCACAGTAGCTTAATCCTTACTGAGAGCTAAGATAAAAGCTGTGTCATATTATTTTAGGTATCTCAGTTCACTGTTCTCAGCTTTAAGAATTAGTGTTGACCAGAAGATGATAGTTTCTTGTCACAGTTTACATGTATTTATTTTCTGCTCTTTGCAGGATTAAAGCTATGGTGTTTCAACACAATGTCATTCTACTGAAAACTTCCATTTTCCAGTCATCTGGTCCATGAATTTCCTTTGTCACTCTCTGGTTTTGGAGTCAGGAGTGCCACAGAGCCTGACTGTTGTAAGATTTTCCAGAATAAATTCATTTTAGCAGAAAATGAATTAGCTCCATGAAGCATTCTAGTTTCCATGAAACTGTATACATTTGGCTGAAATAGGCTTCTCTCTAGTGAAAATGTGAAGTCCAAACCTATGAAACCAACACTGTCCAGCAAGGCTCTTTAAAGCCAACACTCATTGCAAGATCAAGCTTTTGACTGACAATGGAGCAAACTGGACTCATGGAGCCTGTGGATGTTAATGGGAGTTTCACTTTGCATTTAGTTCACTGTTTAGTCTTTCTAACCCCTAATCCTATCTCATACATAAAGGCCTTTTGCTTTAAATGAAAAACATGTAGTAGAGTAAGAAGCAACTCAGTGAAAAAAGCTAGTGTGAACAGGACCATAACTTGTTAAAAACAGTTGATGCATGTCTTTTACTCAACAATCGTATGCTAAGACTGTTTCCTTCCAACAGAGAAAGTCCTTGGGAATCACCCACTGAAGTCCTTTGCAGTTTTAAGTGCTCATGAAGTAAATCCAAGTTTGCTGATCTTTTCCTAGCCGCAACAGAAACCCCCAGTCAGTGGTGCCCATCAGGATGGACACACTGCTAGTCTTAAATCCAGAACTTTGAAATTACAGAACATTGTTTTGAAAAGTATTGGTACCAACTCTGAATTGCTTTTCATTTCTAAGGTAAAAATCTGTTTGGTTCATGTCTGTGTGAGAGTTAGAACACTGAAGCTCCAGGAGCAGCTATTTAAAATATTTCTATAGCATCCAAACCAGGTAATTCCCTCTTGAAAAGAAAATGTGGGTTTTGTGTAGTGTCTCCATGGAGCGTTAGCCTTAAAATGCCTGCTTCTGTAAATCGTAAAAGTAAAGCTTAGCTCAATGAAATGTCCTTGAAACATGAATAACATACACTCTTTAATATGGCGTAAAATTCTCAGATTCCACAAAGTATTATGCCCTCACTTAAAGTCCACTTAAAATCCAAAGGTTATTTGCATGCTAAAAGTTAAGCATCCTCCCCAAATTTTTTTGAGGCAATGGAACCGAGGTATCATTTCAAGGGGAGACAGAAGCTGAATATGGGAAAATCTAACCTTGAAACACTTGAAAGACCTGAACGCTCCATGCGAGAGCTCTTTGCCTCTTCCTGGCATTAGAGCAAAGCATTACTCTACCAAAGCTAAAATTCTCTTCTTGGGAAAAAAACTCTTGCCAGCAGTGGTCAACTTGTGGATTGCCACAAAATGGCCTAGCAGTAGAGACATGATTTTCATTCCATCCTGAAATAAATCATCTTGAATGTTCTCCTAGCTCGCCAGTCAGGTTCACCTGCTCTCTTACTCCAAGAAGTTCCTTTATTCCAGTGCTATCAGTTTGTTATTCTTACCTGCAAAGATGGCTAGAATTGGAAATGTCTTCAGCATCATTGCACACATCTTCTTGATGCTGGGAGGGAAAAGAGACCAGATGCTGCTTCTGACTTCGACTGAACTCAACTGTTAGGGTTTTTTTAAGTCGGTTTTTGTTTTCCTTATCAGCTGTGTATCAACACGTCAGTGAGCTGTTTCATTCTCCTTCTTTATCACATGTGTGCCTTTCTCCGACTAGTGGTGTGACTGTTCACTTGAAACCATTTCGTGGGGTTTGAGCTACTAAGGGCTTTGTTAATAATAAACCTTTGAATCAGAGAACCCAGATTCTCCCACTTTTGCCAGGGCCCAGCAGTATTTGCCTACACAAGTACTTGCACTCAGTACAAGAAAAGTATTTGTGGAGCTATTTAACAGTCAATATGATTACCAGTGTTGGAGTCAGAACTAATATGAATAAGGAATAATCTTTATTTCCTGTTAATTCTATCACTTCTTTTTAGAAATGGGCATGTGGAGATAATACATTGTCAGTACATTTTCATTTAAAAACATATGTCTTATACAGTTTTATATGGAATGATTGCATTGGACTCATGATTACCTTGAAATTTCCATATTGAACTCATCAATAAGATAACATACCAAAATAAAGATCAAATAAAAGTTAGCTTGTAATCTGATAATAAAATTGTTTCATTGAGTTTTAAGCCACGAAGTTGGATGTCACTAGTTTAAAAAGTGACAAGGTGAAAATATTGGGTTTTATTTACATGTTAATACAGGATTTATATAATGAAAAAGCAGTGGATGAAGGTTAGAATAACTTAGATTTCTTTGTCCTTACTGGTTGTAAAATGCCCTTTCTGAAGCTCTTTAGGAACTGAAGGCACTCAGCTTCCTGTAGGAGCCAGATTTGCTTTTTGCATTCTTTGTCATTTGTCTGAAGCTGATTCAGAGCCCCAGGCTGTGACAGGACTAGGTGGCTCTGCTTACACAGTCACACCTGAGCAAGCAGCTGAAGACATAACAGAGGGCAGCATTGCCATTTAGATGTGTGCCTGCACCTAGGACGAAGACAGTAAAAAGGTCAGTGACCTTTTTTCCATGCTTTTTGAAAACGTGGGTCTAGTTCATGCCTGATGACCCCATCTTTCTAGTGGCAGGCAAGGGTGGCCACCTTTTCCATGCCAGGAGCCACACTGCAGCATGGGTAGCCCTTTTGGCCCTCCCCACCTTTTGGCAGGTGGAGCTCAGCATCGGGCCATGTGTGGTTGGAGGTGAGAGGTTGTCCAGGCACTCCCTCGTCTCTGATGTGATGTGGTGGTAGATTCTTCAGCATAGAAGTTGTAAGTTACTGATTGCATCAGTTACTATTTGGATCAGGCTTATAGACTTAGATGAATTTTATTCTGTAATACTCAGGAGTCTGACTAGTAGCTCACAGAGTATTGATCCTTTGCAAAAGACAGCAGTTTTCAAGAAGATGTAAAAAAATGCACCCTGCAGAAGTGAGCACCTGCGTGATCCTATATCTTTACCACAATATCAGTGTGCCCTCTAATTCCCACTCATTTATCAACACCGAAGTCCTTTCTCTGGCTCTTAAGGCCCCCTAAGCTAATATATATTTTTTCCCTGTTACACTGACTTTTTGCCAATTACATCTTTGAAAGGTGACAGAACTACATTCCTGGAGGGTGAAGTGCTCAGTTTGACCAGAGAACAGGAGCCAAGAACACAACTTCTTCATTAATATGCACCATTTAAGCTTGGGATGCAGGGCTGAGATTACCATTTATGGAGCAGGTATAGCTCATAGCCAATGATTCCAATGATCCATCCTGTTTTACAGAGGATACCGAATACCAGGAGCATTTACTTTTGACTATTACCTGCCTGGGGCTCATTTCACACTGTCAAACCAGAGGCATGTACCCTAACACTAATCTTCCAAGCCCTAAGGGTTATTCTCCTGTGAAGGTAATAGATGGCACCTGTCAGCTGCTGACTTTGCTTCTAACTCATTGCTACTGGAGAGCAGCACTGCCTGTTCAGACATCACCTTAGGAGAACTGAGCACAGAAAGCAAACTCTGTTTTGGTCTGATGATTTATGTTAGAGTGGGACAACAAAGAAGCTCTTGCTTACACTGCCGACCCTCGACTAAGAGGAGAGAGCAGCCCAGAGTGCTGCAGCACAGCAGTCACTTTGCCATGGGTGGAGCAAAGACTCTTATCTCAAGATAAAATGGAAGGGGCCAGTACCAGGAACTGTACGTTAACAGACTTTGTGACTCAAATCTGTGTACATTGAAACATGTTCAGAAATGTTCCCTTTCTAGCAACTCCCTTGTATTCACTCTCTAAATAGAAGTGTCAGTCATCAAAAAATGAAGCCCAGAGGCACACCCCAAGCAAGGCAGCATCGCCCAGCCAAGCACTGCCAGGATATTTAGGAGTTGCTTCTGTTGGCCTGAAACCCAATAAAAAAACTTCCTGTAGAATCCCATGTTTGATTTGTCAAAGCTCATCAGCATTTCAACTACTTTGTCTTCCTGAAATGTGCTAAACCTGTAATTGTTTGAAGACACCAAACCCACCATAACCCAGTGATTTATAAAGCTCTCCAGTGTCACAGCTGATGACTGGGGATGAAGAGAAGTGTGTAATTAAAGATTCAAACAAGTAAAGTAAAATAGCTTCTTTAAGCCTCTAAATCCGTCATTAGGTTGACTTTCAAATGCACAGTACAGTTTACAAGTTTACAGTTTACAAGAATGCCATTCAAGCATCCAGCATCATCTTTACCACAGTAAGTGTGGATTGCAGTGTTTGTGTCCTCTCCTAGCTGAGGAGAGTCAGTCTGTCCTTGATGTGTCCCTGACAGTTTTGGGGGAATGTAAGCATTTTTCACTGCCTGTCAGGGACAGATACGTTGCTGGGTGCAGGCAGGCATTACCCCAAAGCTGCTCTCCCAGTCAGTGGCTGTGACATGACCCTAGACTGCTCAGTCATTTAGAGGTACCCTGGCTCCCTTCCCACATCCTTCCCACCACAACCTTGTGCTTCCCAGCTCAGAGAAGCTGTGGGATGTGCAAGTCAGCTGGAGACTGGAGGACTTCATGGAAGAGGAAAGGGACTGGACTCTTGACCCATCCCAGTCATGTAGCTCACCCCCCAACACCACATCTGCCTTCAATGATGTAAGGACTTCCCTGGGGCTGCACATGATGGCTCGTTTTGCTTATGGTAGGGATTACTGTGAAATTGCCCACAGCTCCCCAGAGGAGGCTTCCTTCACACCAGCACTTCTGGCCTTGTCTGTCTGTGAAGGAACAATTATAAGAGTCCTTTGTGGAGATATAGTCTAAAAGTTTTCAGGAAAAATCAGATGCAGCATACCCTTTCATCTTTCTCCTCTTCCCAACCAAGGAAAGGCAGCAGGTTGCAAACTTTCAGCATGTTTTTGAATCTGCTGTGAACAAGCAGGTAGGCAAGCCAGACACAAACCCAAATCAAACCTGTCTTGTCATCAAAGGAAAGCAGCAGTGTTGGCAGACACAGAACTTCCCCTGTGCAGACAACTGTTCCTTTTCAGAAGGGAACAAAAGAAAAGGGATCCAACATAAAGCTGTAACTGAAAAACAATCATAAGAAATGCCTAGACACAGAAATAAATAGGCTTCCAGTAGGCTGGGGGCTTAATGATGCAGAGACAAAGGTTCCCTGAGGAGAGCTAAGAAAATGTCCCTATCCTAGGTGATAATTGTGGAATCCAAGCAAACTGTGTATCCCTGTAAAAGCTGCAGAGGATAAATACTACCCTGCCACAAAAGCACAGTCCCTTGCCAGACACCCTAGTAGGCACCTAAATGATTTCATTACCCAAATATTCTCCCAAGTGGATGACTCAATCACCCACAGTATTTCCACGTGTGCGAGGAAAATCACACCTGACAGAAGCAGGACGTGGGAGAGTAAAGACCTTTTGTACCCACCCACTGCTCCTGTCCTGCTGTGGAGGATGCTCCTGGGGTGCCGTGGGCATGGCACTGCTGCCTCTGCCTGCCTGCACACTGGCCCTGGTCTCCACACAGGCAGGCAGGGTAGAGAGGGACAGTGGGGCACATATGCCCTGATCCTCTCCAGGGCTGGCAATAGCCTGGACTGGTATTCTGGCATTTTCCACATTTCTGAACTATTGCATTTGGGGTAGCTTGGACATTTTACCTTGCTTAAAAATGTGGCAGGCAGGTAATTCAGTGGGATGTTGTTAGGAACATGCAGAGCACTAGACCTCTGCTGTCAGATCCAGCCTGTTTGACAGGCACAGACAATGTAGGAAGCTTTCTTATCTTACATTGCTTTAGGAAGGTGATGCCTGCTGTAGTCAAAGGGATTTGTTTGTGTGCAACACATTGCAATAGAACTGTGACACCTGTACCCACAGCAGTGTTTATTTGGTCACCAAGTCCCATGTGAAATCGATGTGAATGTAAGCACCTGGACAAATTTGTGGATCAGGCTTAGGCCCTTTGGGTTGATGGTAAAACTCCCCTGGTCTTCCGTACCTTCTGTTCTGAGAAAAGCATGAAAAAGCAGAGAAATAGCTGCTCGTGATGCTGCACCAGACCTCCTGGGGATGCTGGTGTAGCATCCATGCAACCTGGAACTGGGCTGCCTTGGATTGGGCTGGACCAGGATGATGGGAGTGCTGGAGCAAGTGTTGTTGCAGAAGCAGAGTGATGGTTTTGCAGCAGTTGGTATAATGGTAAATACTCCCCCATGAGCAGGTGAGCTGAACACCATGAGTGCCCTGGCTGAAGAATGACTTTCTAACACAAAGTGTCACCATCAAAGAATCAATTTATGTGCTGTGGTTCAAGTGTCAAAATCAAAGCAAGCTCTTTGTTACATGACAAATCACAGTAAAATGGTTCTGTCTTTGCACCATTGCTGTTCTCTTGGATTTGCATTGGCTGGATAACCTTTTCCCTGCATATGATTAACTCTATGATTTACTCTCCTTGTTATGCCTTCCCCCCCCCCCCCTTATTCTTTTTCATGTAGTTTCAGAATTGAAGCTAATCAAGAAAAAAAAAGGAAAAGTCATAGTGAGAATCTGGGGATTAAACTGTCTATCAACATTATCAGGTCTTTTTTCTAATCATCGTTTGCATTTTCATAGGTTAACAGGGTCTGAAACTATTAAGTGACACTGTTTCTTCAGTTTGGCAGCCTTTTTTGCACTTGTCTAAAAA